TGAATCTGAACTGTGACTCATTCTTATTGAGTGCCATCTTAAAGAAGTTTATTTTTCTGCAACCCCAAATCTATCYATGTTATATATTTTCTAGAGTAAGCTACCCATCATTGAAACTCTCTGGATACTGAAGCTGACGCGATTTTGAACAGTTTTTCACTAAAATAAATGAAAATGATTTTTTTCCATCTTAGAATCTGTTTACATAAGGTAGAGTGCCCCCAGGCTACCTATAGTGGCACCCTGCCCAAATGTTAACAAAGCCTTAGTCTAAAAGTAGAAATTAAAACTTCTAGATGTTGTTATTGATATAGGTTTTATCAAAATGCGAACCCGTTGGATTGACTTCGAAAAAAGATAAAACTGTCCATAATCCATAAACTGTGTATTATTCGATAGTCACAGAAAGGTGCTTTTTGAATTATATAATAGATAATAATCAGATAATATGTTTTTATTATACGCGTAAAGGTGAATAAATACGTTGGATGGACTACAACATAATGAAAAACTGAAAAAAAAGTTCGGCGATTACATTACATTACATTTTCTATTTTTTCCAATGATAAAATATTATCCTGTGGAAGTTGAAACGTTAATTTCAATGGTTTTTCACTATAAATTATATTGAGTTATTTTTCAAACTATTCTCATTGTTAGACATGGACAATTGCACAGCAACCAAGCCATGCTCCAGCGTTGCCAGTCTTCAAGCTTTCCTTGTGAGCAGGGCCTTTTAACCCTTTGAGGTCCGCTTTAGGCCATTATTGGTCGYTTACGACCGAAGTTTGTAAAAATTGCAAGTATCCGAGATCGCAAATGAAGACACCAAATGCACYCCATGCGACAGCTATTAATTTAACTCCATCTTAGAGTTGAAAATATTTCACATCAAGCACGATATCTGGGCAAAAACAACCTCTKAAWAAAAGGGAACGCCTAAATTTCGACTTTGTGGTGTACACGAAACGKRTGGGATTCACGTCTCTTCGTCTTCAGTTTTAGAGTCAAAATCGAAATTCTACGTTTTTTGAATTTTAATTTCCAATACCAGATCTTTAGCATTTCTGCATTTTTGTTTTGTAGACGTCTCTATAGACCTAGCCACAGTCCCCTTTACGACACCAATCACAGCAAACCCAAACTTCTCACTTGCGCGACTGATTTGCATCATGGGAAATGTGGTTCAAGCTCAGTCGGCCAAGCGAMACTCGCACCTACCGGCAAAATATCGCACCGATTGCATTCTTTGGATGTTAAAACTCGCCAATTTTACCTTGGTAGGTTCTGAAATCTGCCACAGAACGACTAGAGAGGCGGCCTTTCTCTAACGTCGGCAATTCAAAGCTAACTTCGTATTGGCGATATTGTCTTCGAAAAATCGCTTCCCGTCTCTGAGTTCTTCCAGAAGAGTGTCTCTGCCGCCTAGTCGAGCTTCATAATGCAGTCCTAGGGGCTTCTGTGGCAGCAAATGACTCGAAAAATCACTTAAAAACCGTTTGGGGGCGATTTTGAGAGCGAGCGCTAGCTAATTTAGCGAGCCGTCTCATATTCGCCAGGCGTCGGTGAAGTAAACAAACTCAGAGGAATGTGAAGCTATAATAGTTTGATTGACAACTCCTTATATGGGGTATATTTAATTTTTTTGAAATATTAGTCTCAAAAACACTCTAAAATCCTAAATAAATCGCGGACGTTAAAGGGTTAAGGCCCTTAAAAAAATTATATTAAATTAAAATTTACCTCGCCCCCCCAAGGTCATCACGCAAGGCATGTATCTAGTAACAACAACAATCAGATGAGAAGATGAGTCACAGGAAGCATGAAAACAATAAACAAATACGCAGCTTTTCCGGTTGCTGAAGTGGAGATTTTTCAAAATTTCGCCTTTGCATTTTTTTTTTTTAAATTCATATTACGTGTCTTTTTTTAATAAAAATCACGAAGGGGCTATCTATAAACGTATTATAGGAGAGTATATTATTTCAGTTTATTATCTCCACCAATAGTCACTTGTATCGATTTTTACGCAAAATTTCGTTCTTGTTTGGGATTGTTTATTTTTCGGATTTCTTTTTCTCTCCTTCGATTCCTTAGTACCTAAGTTTCATCTCATCCCGGAGACTTATTTTTGGAAAACTTTAAAGTACTCGGACCACTTGTGACATCTTCATTAATTCAATATTTGTCTTCAAATGCGTGTTTACCTAAACCTTTTTCAAAGCAATATTGATATTAAATATAAAGCATTTTAAATTATTATTATTTCATTGAATAATAAGAAAAATTAGCACGAGATACTGAAAAGTGAAGCATTTAAATGCTTTTAAAAGATTTTCCGATTCTCACTTAAAACACGGGATGGTTGGAAGTGCTTACGACAAAGATTTTGAATCACGAGATGAAAGCGAATAAGTCCAGTAACATCCAGGCTGAATGCAATCGTTTTTAATTGTCTAAAGCTTATTCTTACAGTCAATAAATTGAACTGATGCTGTTTTACCTATCTATATTTATGTCCTTTGCGGTTTTTACCATACGTGATTACGTCATTGGCTCATTTCTTTTGCGGTCTCATCTTCATTTCAGCTCTTGCAAGGGAATAATGGCTCTTTTTCCAATGGTACCAGGTCACGCCACGGCCTGAAATGGTACCGCGGTACTTGTACTGACCATTAAGGTTGGAATTATAGCAGCTGTTATACCACCAGGCACCCTTGTAGTAAGCTGCACAGTTGCCACTGTTCTTGTCATTGTCACGATCTTTGGTACTGAAGGCCATATTACGATGCCTGACCAGGGAATCACCTGCAGTACCTGAAATACAGGAAACACAGTTTTGTACCAATATTTCGTTGCTTTTTATCTTTATAACTATTGTTAACGTTGTTGATATTTTTATGGTTTTTATCATTGGGGCGCAGAGATACTGCGGATTATTTTTAGCACATTCTTTTCTCAAGTTTATTTTTCCTTTCCTTTTCTTTCTTTCTACTTTTCTTTTCTCTTTTTTTGGCTTGTTTGTTTTTGTAGTAACATTTAAAGCCATAATTTAACTCTTATTAGCTTTTGAAAATGTTAATTGGTGGATGACAACCTCTTGTATATCATGAGATTTTCAGATGATTGAATTGGTATAGTTTAAAACACGAG